CTACTACCCCTCCTCCTCCTCCTCCTACTACTACTACTACTACTACTACTACTACTAGTACTTCTACTGCTCCTGCTGCTACTCCCACAGCCTGCTCGACACTGAGTCTCGACGCAAGGCACATACGGACCTGCTGCGATGGGGAAGGGAAGAAAGCAAAGAAGTGAAGACGGGTTGGGGGCGCGGTAGCGATGCCTAAAGCAACACTGGTCAGTAGGAAACCACAAAGTCAGTTGAATGGACAGCCGCAGTAATCACAAGGAGAACCAGGCTACTCGATATGATGGTCATGATGATGGTATCATGGAGCTGCACGCATATAAACAACAGTGATGACATGAGCAGTGAGGCCAGAGAACCTTCCCCAGACTCCTTTGGACCTGTCACTGCCGGGCGCCTACAACCAGTTCCAATTTTTCAGTTCGAGGCTCAAGATTGACGAAGCCTCCTCTGTAATCGCGGGCTTCGAAAGGGCTGGTGACCATGAGCTGTGCAGCAATATGGGAGTGGGTCAGCTGTGGCTCTGCAACCTTGGATTGCAAGGCCAGCCAAGAAGTGCCCCTTCTTTGCGGAGGTTGATGCCAACATCTCTCTGCTGGTCCAGGTGTGTAGTAGGCTCTTGAGCAATACGCCACATCCCCGTACAGTCCCGAATAATTACAAGCATAGTATAACGCACCGAAACTCCCATTCTATTTTTTGAGGGTCCCATATTGGCTAGCTAGCCAATGGAAGCTCTGGTCAGGCGACTGCTTTGGATCCCCTCCTGTCCCGCGGCTGCAGTGTTGCAATCAGCTGTCCTGGTCAGTATGCCTATGTCATTGTTCCAAGGCCACTGAAGAAGAACCTGACAGACTTCCTTTTGCAGCCGTGCTTCCTTGTATGATTCTGTCTGGAGATGCAATGGAAGCCTCCAGCAGCATCTTTCGGAGAGGGCGACGTTTCCGCCTTTACAGGGCCGAGCCTGCGACCCCGGCAGGCTTCAAGATCAGAGAGCCGCATGCCCTTGGTTTCATTGTTTCAAGATGGGCCATGGGGACAATGCTTCAAGAGAAGGCGAGATTGTCCCATTATGATGGCCCCTCTAGAAGCCGATTGCCTTCGAAGACGTGTGCAAGTCACACAAGCAGTCTACGTCGCCATGTCCTCGAAGAAGCCTTCGGCTGACAGGGGCAGTCGCGTGCTTATGCGTGCTTTTAGCTAGGTTATTGCTTTGAATTTGAGATTGAATTTGAGGTGTTGCGAAGATGCATCTGCGCTGCGGCCAAGAGCTAGCTTTCAGCCACAAGGAGGGTGGTAATTTGTGGTTTCGCCTAATGTATGAGCCACGGGAAGGGGCACTCGTGTCAATTTATGCCTCTTGGGTAACGCAGCTTTTCCGTGCCAATACTGGAGCAGCTCCACGTGCACAGAATTTCCCAGGCAAAGTCAGTTAACCAGACTGTGGCACAACCAGCACCCCCCCAAATGCAGGCAAGGCTGCCAAGGTAGGCCCCACACCAGACCTAGCACGTTGTCCATTCCATACATGCTGTCTTGCACTGGGCAGTACCAAGTTGACTTCTCCAAACCAACGACGACCTGCCAAACCTGCTCAGGGTGTGGATGTGCGGCTTGCGGAATCGATGGGAAATGCTGTTTTCTGCAGAACTTGTCGAGCTTCTCGACAAGTCTGTCTTGCGAACTCTGCAGCAAGAGCATTTCTGGCTTTACAGAGGAGCAGGTGAGGGTGCCGGACCGATGTGTGTATGTATGAGAGAGATATCGGGTGCTTGCAGCCTTGATTGGCGGCCCCACACCGCGCTTCACGACCGGTGCATTGGGATGTACCAGGCCTGAAATTGCACGGAAGACTCCAAGCGTGCCTAGTGGTGATCACACCCAGCTCCCACGGCCAAGAGCCCCTAAGCCCAAAACCCGTATACCACAAGCTCCTGAATCCGTCAAGCCCTAAACCCCTAACTCCTAATCCCCTGTCAACCAACACCCTAAACCCTAAACCCTAATCCCCCAGACAACCAACATCCTAAACTCACGTTTTCAAGCCGCAGCCTTGCCCCAAAGCCCCGAACTCCCGAGCCTCTGTCCTATGGCCCATCCCTGGCACGCTGGAGGTGGCAATGCAAGTTTTCTGCAACGGCAAAGGTCGGGGTGTAGTTCTGTGTCTGAACATTATACGTTATTTATGTATGTATTTGTTTATATGTATGTATTATAGATAAATAAATAAATAAATAAACAAATAAACAAATAAACAAATAAATAAATAAATAAATAAATAAATAAATATATATATATATATATATAGATGTATGGTATGTTTATATGTATATGAGTATACATGCTTTTATGTGGAGAGGTATGTATTTGTATATCTACATATGTATATACGTTTATAGGTGTGTTGTATGTATGCATGCATGCATGCATGCATGCATGCATGTACGTATGTATGTATAAACGATGTACTCACATACACACATACATACATACATACATACATACATACATACATAATTACACACATACACATATACACACATATATATACATACATGTGAGTGTACATATGTACATATGCACGAACGTGTATATGTATATGTGTGTACATGTGTGTGTGTGTGTGTGTCTGGCTACGTCTTTGTCTATCAATTTGATACGTTCGTTCGTTGTCCTGTATGGTGTTAATCGAATAAGCAGTCCCCATCCTGTTTTGACTGTACAGACTAATCAGGTCAGATAGATTGTCATGTGGCTTTGGCAGTGACGTACTCGGAGTGCACAAAACACAAGACATCGTTAGCTGCAGGGACACTTTTCATTCAAAGATGGTAGAAACAGCAGTGAGTGGTCGTTGCGTAGCAACCAGAAACACCAACGGGGGTTGCAATCCTCGTAGCTATGATGCCAAAGAAGGCGAAGAGGCTTGAGTAGACACTGAACACCTCCAGAGTTCTGAGCAGTAAAATCCTGGTGAGCACCCAGCTTCACCTGGACTTTTTAACCTTCTTGCTGACAGCCGCGATCCGGTGACTGTGATGTCGTTTGGGTGTACTGGTTCGAGCAAACCAGTAGGTGCTGGATGGAACAGGTCTACAGCAGCGCATATATCACATGAAGGCTTGAGCCCCATATCCTCGAAAAGACGAGGAACAGCAATAACGAAATTTACAAACAGAAGTAGTATCACTGGAACTGGACATGGTGAAGATGTGTCCAATAGGCTTGAAAGAATGCATGTTGGTAGTATATTACAGTAGTGTCAGTGTGACAGACGTCATGCAGCCAGTAGTGCCAATATTTGTGGAATCTAGAAGTAGTAGTAGCAGCAGCAGTAGTAGTAGTAGTAGGAGGAGGAGTAGTAGTAGTAGTAGTAGTAGCAACAGCAGTAGCAGCAGCAGCTTTTGCAGAGCTGCTAGCAACATAACTTGTAAGTCATGTCGGAAGCAACTACGGACAACAAAAAAAGCAGCGACGTGTCACAAATGGCGATAGGAAGAGAAGAACAGGAAAGCGCCCTGCATCATGCGTGTGGCAGAGGGCAAGGCTGAGACTGGCATTGCAGAGGCGAATTCATCGTGAGGCTAGGAGACATGTTAGTTGGAGCAGCAACAGTGCTACGATTAGCAATATGTTTAGGGACAACAGGAGTGGTAGCAAGGTCTGAAAGCTCGAAACGATCGTAGTGCTGGCATCAACAGTGTGAGTCAGTGCAACTCGTGCGATGAATAAGATTTGCAAAAGTCGTGGTCAGAGTACCGACAGTCTTGTCATTGAGTATTGCCTGCCGTTGTAGCCGTAACACTGATAGCATGCGTAGTAAGCAGAGCACGGTAGTGATGCTAGCAAGAACAGTGTGTTATCACTACTTGCAGCACTGGTCGTACTGCTCAAAGTGCTGCAATGCTGCTAGTCTTGCTGCGAGTTCTAGCAGCACTGGGAAAAACTCAGCCAGTGTATATAAGACCAGTAGCAGCCACATTAGCAATAAATATCATGGCGAAGACGAAGACTACCGTTGAAGGTAAGTTCAGAACAGCACTGATCGAATTCTACAAATGCCAGGGTAAGGCAGAACTACTATTGACCTTAAGGGCTATAGTCAAACTGATGGCAATTCCGACAACATTGTCGTCTTTGTTATTTTTCAAGCTAGTTGTTTTTCCTAGTTGCTTCTTGTTGTAGTGTCGTTTTGCTGACCATACGATTCTGAAGAGGCCCAACAGCATCAGCACATCAACAACAAATCGAAGTGGTGCTGCAGATATGTCAATGTACACATGTTCGCATCAAGAGGTGTCATGGTTATCCCGTACATATTTCAGACCCGAGAGTGCTTCACGGTGCCGGACCGGCGGGTGTTGTCAGAGTTGACGTGCGAGTGCTACAGAAGTTCTCCCGCCAGAGACACCACGAGGTGCATGTCAGTTGTTTCTCTCCGGAAATGTGTTCTTCAACGACTAAAAGTGTCAGTACGTATCGTTGTATATTGCTTGTATACTGCTATGCACGAAACATAACGTTGAGTATACATGTGTATTCTCTTTCTATATTTCTTTGTATGTCTATGTCAAGCTATATCCTCATCTGTATTTATTTTTGTATATATATATATATATCTATATCAGTATCTATATTTATATCGGGTTCTATATCTATATTTATATCTGCATCTATATCGATATCTACATCTATCCATCTCTCTCTCTATATATATATATATGTATATGTATATGTATGTATACACACATACATATGCACACACAAATACCGATTGCCTAGTGCTGGGTACATGTGTACGTGAGTACATACCTTGATCTGTTGATCATCATCTCCTGGCAGGTTCATCTCGACCCAATCCCTAAGCGCTAAACTGCAGGCAGGCGCGTCGCGGGAGCCTGGCGGCGATACTTGATGAAGGGATATCCACAATTCGTTCACAAAAGTCCGTTGTGATAGCATCAAGCAGCCTGTGCTATATGATATCACATGACGTGGTATGGTCTGGTTTGTCATAATGTGATTGGACATGTTATGATACGACATGTCATAACATGATATGTCAGGATATGACATGTCATGCTACGATATGGCATGTTATGAGATGACATGATTCTGATAGGATACAACGCAGTATAACATGCTCATATCTGCATCTCGGGTGAACTGGCTCATTTTATCTTACCTCTTGCTTCCCCAGCGCGGGGGAGCACGACCAGACGAACTCCAAGCACCAGAGGAAGCAGAGTGATCAGCTTGAACGGAAGGAGGTTTGGCGACTTCACAGTCAACAGCGGGAGATTGGGAGAAGAGTTTCTGCTGGGTTGGGCGTGTGGCAAGGTCCCAGTGAGGTGCTTGGCAGTGCTTTCAATCTGTCACACAGTTTGAGAGAGCACCATGAAGCAAGTTCGGCTTCGCGATTATTTTAGCAAGTAATGACCCTAAGATTGGTCAAAGCTTATGTTCGAGGCATCCGGGAGATTTTGCAGGCTTGGGTCAACGGATGTTGTGACCTAGTCTGGAACACTCCCCATGCTCGAATCTGCCCTCGGGCGAGACACAGTACTAGTTTGCGGCGGAATGCGCACAAGCATTGCTGCGGCACGACAATGCACGGAGGATGAGACAGCATTGCCAGACTGTCGTTCTGAGGCGCCAAACGCAAGATTCAAAAGACCAGCACAAATGGATTTGCGGGGTGTCGCTCTTGCCGTTTTTGTCAGAAAGACCGCATCTGAACCCTAAGCTCGAAAGCCCCAAACCCTAAACCTGCAGGAACGCTTGCAAGTATCCTGAGAGGCATCTCGGAGCCACTTGGCTTGCGGACGGCCAGCGGAGGCCATCCGTCTCAAGTCGTTTCGTTTTGGGCTTAGGGCTGAGGGTAGG